ACGTGGATTGCATTCTTTCTCCTTTGTAGATGTTGGGGAGTAATGCACATATGTAGCAACGAAGTCTGTTGATATCATCAAAATGGTGGAGCGGGAGGCAACTTGTCCTCATCCTTTCATATGCCTCAAATTAACGCCTGTTCGATGAGTGTCACCTTCTCATTCTAACACTACCGATGCTCTCAAGAGTTGACTCTTGCATTATACCACTCCGTTTGATGCATCTCCCTCATTCGTGTCTGCAGATGTGACATGCGAGTATGACGACACGAGAGACGAATCGCCTCCATCTGACGTTTGACTGTGTACTATTTTTGTACATCACATTGTCAACTTGGCCAGTCCTCAACTTCGACTTCTCCGAAGTTGTACCTTGGGTCAAATGTCTGATTAGCGTTTGGGGTCTGTTCTGCTTCCACCACTAGGTGTCTACTTCCAACTGAAGGAGAGACAAGAACAGCGAAGTAAGAGAAATGAGTGAATGCGTAAGTGGGATGGCGGGTGAGCGTGAGGCTGAGTGGGTTGATGGAAGGTGGCGTTTTGAGGAAGTGAAGAGATTAGAGTCAAATACGTTAACAATGAATTAGCCAACGATCAAAGGAGGTCTCACTTGACCCAGAATGGATCTGTCTATCTGGTGGACTAGAAGGCTGAGTTTTGAAGTAGGTGGAGAAGCAGATGATATGAATGTACACGCACACTCATGCACGCACATCATCGTTCGTGCATATATACCATTCAGCTACATATTTGTTCCATACAAAATGATGAATAGTTAATCCGAGTGAAGTATTCACTTGGGAAGAACCGACGCCGACTGGCTGTAAAGGAGAAGTTGCACTGGGCAACATTGATAGACACCCAGCTCTACTGCATTCTGATGCTGACACATGTGACTGATGTTAACACTTTAAGAGAAAAATTGGGGGTGGAAGAGGTGATGATGGGGATGGCAATGTCTGCAGCGTGATGAGCAACTCTTCCTGCTGTCTACCAATTCAATCACCCGCCGACACGCTAATGTTAGTCTGCGGAGTAGAAAAACACCCACGGCTTTAAGAAGACATTTTGACATTGTTTCTACGAAAAGGGTCTGAATTATCTAAAACAATTGTGGTAAGGCAGTATTTGGCTCTCATTATAGAGCGTCGGCACTTCGACCTGACCCCTGTGGTCTCCACCAACACAGCAACGTTAAAATGCTTCGCTAATAACCAACTGCTATTTTATAATGATTTATACTCCAGCCACCAGAATCTTTGTGTCACTGAAGTAAGATGCCTTTCTAGATGGAATGCATTAGGATAATCAAAATGCTGTCAAATTTTGACATGCTCCCAAATTACAGCTCGACCATCAGTGATAGAGTGGGACCACCAGTCAAGCAATCAAAATCCACCCTCAGAAAAACCTTACAACATGTTTCTCGTCCTAAAACGCACTACCCCACTGTCCTAAATTTACCTTCACGTCAAAGTTATACTGTAGGAATAACGATACTATGCATTGTTCCTCTCGTAGAACATTATGCCATCCAGGGACCATCACAGGAACTAACGTTATAGCAGAGCAAGACGTA